TTTCATTAGCTGTAAGCCATAATCATCACAATTATAACAAATTACGGCCCAAACCAAGTACTGAGTACATATGCATGCTTATACTTTTCAGAGATCTGATAGTTATCTCATATATTGGTTTCACCTTTTAAGTTGCATTACTGAAATAAATGAACTTTTGCACAATATTCTAATTTTTCAAGTTTCACCTGTACTTCAGTTCCAGACCTCTACTGACTTTTATCTCTAGAGTTTTCTGGAATTGGCAGTTTCTAAAAATAATACACCTTCATCAAATGATAGGATTCAAGGGAGTCTCTAGTCCAACCAGTGGACAGTGGACTAACCTGCCCAGTGCAGGAATCCTCATACAGGTAGTTCTTGTTTACTTATACTAATTAAGACCAGAAACTCATCATTAAACAATGTGGCAATTAATAAAAAAAACCAAATGACCACACTGCCTAACAGTGGCAGTTTCAACAGTCCCATTTGCCCTGTGCAATATTTTCTTGAAGTATTATCCTCATTATTACCTCAATTTCCAGTGGAAATCTGCATAAAACAAAACAAAAAGGAATATTTTATATGAAATAGTAATAGATAGTAGAGTTCTTTCAATAAGAACAGAATATGGTTGTTAATTGGAAAACAGGTACCTATCATTGAAAAACTCAAAATGATATCTTGAAAATATATACAAAGAAGACAGACCAGGACACTAAATATGATTTACATCAAAAAAGTAGTCCTCAACTTACAACCATAATTGAGCCTAAAATTTTTGTTGCTAAGCAAAATAGCTAAATGAGTTGTACCCCAGTTTATGACCTTTTTTGTCACAACTGGTAAGTGAACCACTGCAGTTGTTAAGTGAATCAGCTAATTGTTATGTGAATCTGACTTTTCCCATTGACTTTGCTTGTCGGAAGCCAACTGGGAAGGTTACAAATGATCCCGGGACACTGCAACTGTCATAAATACATGCCAGTTGCCAAGCACTCAAATTTTGATCACATGACCATCAAAATGCTACAATGGTCATAAGTGTGAAAACAGGTTATGTCACTTTTTTCAGTGCTGTTGTAACTTTGAAGAGTTACTAAACCAATGGTTGTAAGTTGAAGACTACCTGTACATTTATTTCAATGCTGACATGTGAATGGCAAGAGACACTTAACTTTGGAGTTTAAAATTCTTTGGCCTTGTCAGATGGAGAAGTTGTTTTGTTTATTCTGCAGAATTTCTATGATATTACTGGACTAATGGAACTGAATTTACTTACAACTTGGCAAATTCCCAAAATAGATGTGCATATCTTGTGGAGAGCAGTATCATCACAGAATCTGTTGCATGGCAATTTATCTTTTGTGATACAGAAGTTGAAACAAACTTGTAAATAGAGAGGTTAATTTTTCAAAATATTCCGTATATTCAAGCTCTCAGGATGAAGCCTGCTCTTCTACTCTATTTTTGCAAGGAGAGATATTCAGCTAGTCGATGATCTTACAGATTGAAACAACATTTGTGAGGGCACTTCAGTATAAGATAAGAAAGGTCATATCTGAATTAAGCCACAGAGTAGACAAACCTTGATGAATCTTGGTCCATTCTTCCCTTCCCTTGCTTAGTCATGAGGAATTGTCCAAAAGCTTCTGCTTTTGAAACTGTATGCTTCAAAATAAAATCAAACCTGATTTGGTTCAGACGGTATGACAATCAAGTTAGTTAGAAATAAAAGCTGAAGTATTTATACAGCTGTACAGAAATATGTCTAACAGTAGCTGCTGTAGCTCAGTCAGAACACACAGCTACAGTTTAGCATGACATTCAAATATTTACAGTGAAATGAACTCAAATTATTTCCCCATTTCACTTACCAGTCATAGAAGCCAGATGAAGCAATATTTTATGCAGTTACTAAATTAACAGGGTAATGAGGCAAGAGATTTGACATATAAAATCAGTATTGATCCAATCAAAGTAAAAAAAAAACTATGTGTTATGTACACACATACACATCACCCTTGAAAGAGGAATTTCTCTTCAATTAACAAGGAATACCCATTAGAATACCCTATCAGGGCTGCACTTATTTTAGTTTGTCTGTTAACAGTAGTGTTGAATAAGTAGGTGGATCAAATGAGGCTACTCCTATTTGTCAACTGGAAAAATGTTTTTTTTTTCAAGCATTTAATTGCTACAAAAGAAAATCATTAGTGTCAGCAAATTCTGACATTTGGAAATAGCAATTCTCATTATAAGGAAATGTCTAGGCAGATTCTAAATACATCCTGTGATATTAGTTACTTAACAGTGATATGCTTAATGTTCTTAAATATCACTCTTGGGGACCTATTAATCTCTTACAGCCACCAGAACCGCACATAAACAATCAGCATAATAAAAAATACAGCAATAGCAGCGAGCTTGGCATAGGTGGAACGCATGTTCAGATATTTCGCATCCTGACGGTATTTCTTGGACAAACTGGACAGATTGTTTGCCTTGGAATCCAATGCTGTTTGAAGAAAAGATAGCATGCAAACAAAAATATTATATTCATGAAATGTCAACATTATTTATAAGACAGTAGACCTAGCTCCAACTTCTATCAAGTGTTTAAGACTGACTTTAGTCTGACATATATGATTCAATCTTTCTCATAGAAAAGCTTGCTGGATGTTATAGGTTTCCCTCAAACAGGTAGGAAGTTTTGTCTTTGATAATCAACTTTTATTTAGATTAGGGACAATGAATTAAAACTATTGTAAGCCACAAAAGAGAATTTCAAGTTCTTTCATTTCCCCTAGCAGGTATAAAAACCTTTTGAAAAAATTATATGAAAGGCTAGTGAACTTTCATAATCAATGGGATGAGGCACTGACTCTGCAGAAAGGAAGTTCCTTATTCCCTCTTCTCCCCATCAACTACCCCCAATCTTTACAATAAGTTTTTTGGGATCACAGGTAGTACAGGGCGAATGAAAGAGAGAATGAAAAGTGTATTAAATTAATTTAGAAGACACAGTACATGTTGTCAAATTTATGCAGCCATTTCACAAATAAGTGACTCTTATAATAAGAAGCCTATAATAAGGTTAAAAACTTTTGTGTGTGTGTTCATTCAAAAATATCTTTTTTTAGAAATAGAAATGTCTTTTGCTATAATTTGGTAAATTGACTAAGAAACTGAGACTTTATCCAGCAAAATATTTAATTCAGAAGCTGCTACCATTAAGAATAATTACAATTCAGATAAATTAACTTCCATAAACATCTTTGGATTATGGTATACATTAGTTTTTATCTGCATGAACTATTAGTTTTTTTTATTCCAAAGTATGTTTATCAATTCTTATTCCATATACCATGGATATAAAACAAATCTGTTCAAATGCCATGTTTTTGAGATGTAAAAAAAAATCAGATCAATCACAAAAGATCAATCACTTCAGAATATTTTCCTTCTTTAATATATAAGCTATACGATTCAATCAATAACAATATAAATGTGCCATAACATTGTTGGATAAGTGTGCATACCCGTAAACTACTGTATTTTTTGGAGTTATAAAACACACCTTTTTCCCTCAAAAAAAGAGGCTGAAAATCTGGGTGCGTCTTATACACTGAATACAGCATTTTTTGCCTCCCAAACCCTGCCCCCTTCACCAAAATGGCCGTGCATAGTTTGTAGGAGGCTTTCAAAGAGCTCCTGGGGGCTGGGGAGGGCAGAAATGAGTGAAAAACGGGGCGGTTTTTGCTCAATTTTGCCCCCTCCCCCCAGCCCCCAGGAGCATTCTATAAGCCTCCTAAAGGCTATCCATGCCCGTTTTCTTTTCTTTTTTACAAAAAAACGGGCCAATTTTCAAGAACGGACTGTTTTTTTGCTTGTTTTTTGGGGGGGCCATCCCCAGGAGCACTCTACAAGCCTCCTAAAGGCTATTCATGCATTTTTTTTAAAAAAAAACAGGCCCATTTTCGGGAGGTTTGTAGAGTGCAAAAACTTTTTTTTTAATTTGCCTCTTCAAAACCTTGCTACGTCTTATATTCCAGTGCATCTTATATTCAAAAAAATATGGTAATACTTTGTTAAAACACTTTATTTTATGACTGCATTCAGTCTTTTATGACTGCATTCAGGGGTAGAAGCCTATTAGTATGGCACATCTTGCTTTGGGAAACTTTGTCCTCTCTTCCCTGCAAAACCATTCCAAATCTGTCAGATTGCAAGGGCATATCCCATGTACAACCCTCTTCAAGTAATTCCACCGTCAACTGTCCCATTGGCAGCAAAAAAACCCTCCTGGAACATTGTTTTTACAAGAGTATAACTTTACCGGCAATTCCACATAGGCACAGAAGAAGCAAAGCCAGTTCTGAGGTTTTTGTATGAAAAACAGCATAGTTAAAATCCATTTTGTTCCCCTTGGCCACCCGCAGTCCATAGTCTATCAATCAATTACCCTCATTTTGTTTTCTGCACTCCTCGCAGCATTCAACCTTGAGGTGTTGGAATTCTCTCAGGCTACAGACAGTGCACCTGTATTCCTCAATTATCTCCCAAGCCACTCATACATTCCAATGACTCCTCTCCCCCCTCCCTGGTTTCCATTGCCTAGTTGCATGCAGGGATGCATAGCAAGTCAGCCATGACACCCATAGATTTTCCATTGGATTCAGATTCGGGCTCTTGATAGACCAGTCCAAAACTTCTATCATCTTCTGGTGGAGACATTCTTTTGCTTCGAGGTATGCTTTGGGTCATGATGATAAAAGGTGACATTCATGTTTAGCATTTTTGGTGATGTGCAGTGTTAGTTTCCCACCACACCATTTGGAAATATGGCCAGAAAGTATTGGGCTCATCAAACCAGAGCACCTTTTCCCACATGCTTTTGTCATACTTTATGTAGGTTTTTGCAAACTGGCTTGGATGTTTTCCTTTAAGAAGAGGCTTCCATCTTGCCACGGTATCCCACAGCCCAGACATATGAAGAATATGAAAAATTGTTGTCACCTATAGTACACAACCAGCACTTGCCAGAAATTCCCACAGCTCCTTTAATGTTGTTGCATGCCTCTTGACAGCCTCTCAATTCTTGATAATAATATTTTTGTGCCATCTTTTCTCTACTTGTTGATGAATGCCTTCAATGTGTTCCATGGTATATCCAACACCTTAGAAATTTTTTGTACTCTTCTCCTGACTGTTTCCAATAACGAGATCCCTTTGATGCCTTTTAAGCTCTTTGCTGATAATGCCTTTTGCTGGAAGAGGCAACTGAATAAATGTCAAAAAAGAAATCTACAATAGCTGAACTTTTTATGTGCTTGATCAGTCACTTTGATGGCAGATGTGTACTATTTAATGTCAGTCTGAATGTTATTGGTTAATTCTGAACATAGTCACATGCCCACTTATAAAGAGGGTATGCACTATTATGCATGTTATTGTAACTTTTTTTGTTCTTTTTCTCCAAGAGATTTCAATCTGACTTTTTATATCCACTGTAGTTTCTACTTAGAAAGACTATGTATGTTATGAAATAATTTTTATTTACCTAAAATATTGTCTTTTGTATTCAAAAGTGTATTTAATAATTAATTCATATTCTATATAATTTCTTTGAAAAAGCCCATATTTTTAAGCAGGGACTTTTGCACAGAAGGAAAAATTATCACCTACCTACTTGCTGTTTTTCATCAATTACAAAGAGGACATTACCGCAGTTGCTTAATAACATTGCTACCTAACTGCATCACTTCTGATCCTATGTCATAATCTTCATTAAAGGAAAACTAGTATTACAGAAAAATAAATTGGGAAATCACTCTGAGAGGCAGGCAGTAACAACCTTGAATTATGTAACACTGCCTCTCCTAAATTATACAAATATTGGGATGAGCACATAATAGCTGTCTTTAAAAAGTGGAGGAATCAAGATCACTGATGTTAAATCTGTTGGGAAACTTTACACGGCATCACATTGCCGTCACATGATGTATTGAGATGTTTTTCCCTTCGCGGAGCTAGGGTGGGCATGGCCTGCACATAATGCTCAGACAGTTTGACACCCCTGATCAAGATCTTTAGGTAGAGATGAAGAAAAGTGTTGTTCCACCAAATCAGGCAAGGAGTGAATAGATTGGGATGGGGGTGAGTGGGTATGGTGTTAGGAATTCTTTCAAATCAGAGTTGAATCATGATGACATCTTAAAAGGTCCTTACAAATTTCTTGGCAAGATTTCAGTGACTTCTTCCTAGGGCTGAGCAACTGTGACTTGCCCAAGGTCACCCAACTGGTTTTGTGCCTAAGGTATAACTAGAGCTCATAGTCTCCCAGATTCTATCTTGGTATCTTAACATTCACCTAGTTTTCAGTAAACACAGGAGGATACCAGACTAAACTTTGGCTTAATTACTGAAAGTTTGGAACAGAAATGTTACCAGCCAACTGCAAGAAAGTTCATAATTCAAGTTCTATTATTGAGGCACATGTTCTGCCTTCCCATGCTTTATCAGCCTGTGTAAAGTAAGATGATTTTTGGTCTAAATATTTTATAAATTAAGATTGACACTGGAGAATACCACACCAGTTGATTGATGCAAGGAACATTAAGCAGAAATGATCAAAAGAAATTACATATATTTAGAATAATAAAGGGTAGAAATGGTGTAGAATCATAGGGCGGGAAGGGACTTTGATAGTCTAGTCCAGTGTTTCTCAACCTTGGCAACTTGAAGATGTCTGGACTTCAACTCCCAGAATTCCCCAGCCAGCACTGGCTGGGGAATTCTGGGAGTTGAAGTCCAGACATCTTCAAGTTGCCAAGGTTGAGAAACACTGATCTAGTCCAAGATAATGTCTCATAATTACCCTTGCAAGCCCAGCATCAGGACATTATCATGATTTTTTAAAAATACTCTCTCAACTTTACTGACTAATAAGGGAATATCTTCATGAAGGTCTCATACTGGTGAGCCCCGTCTCTGCTGCTGTGCAGTCTTTTGCAACTAAAGCAAGTGTAACTACTATGCTAATAAGGAAGGGCTGTTGTAAC